CCGAGACGGGCCCGGGCGGCGACTCCGAATGGTGTGGCCTGCAGCGGGCGCGGTCTGCAACCCGCGCCCCAGGGGCGGGCGAGGCAGTCGACGGAGGCCTCTGCCGCGCCCCGACGAGGGCTCCTCAGGCCTCTGGCGCGGCGTGGCGACCCCTGGGCCCCGACGGCGCCGATCGCAGACCGAGCCCCGGCGTAACCACACCCGCTGTGGTCGCTGGAAGAAGACGCACGGCAGCACACCGCGCCGGTGGAAGGCACCGGCAAGCCGAGTGCCACCCTTGGGGCCAAAGCCACGGCGCCTCACGGCAAGACGCCGCACGGCGCAGGGAGCCACCGAGGCGCACCTTGGGGCGCGCAGCACGCTACACCACTCAGGGCAGCAGCAGTCCACCACCTTGGACCACACGGCACGACGCACGGTAGAGAAACGCCCACCTCCAAAACCTGCGACATCGTGGTCTTTCTCACGACGTGAGCCCCGGACCTCTCGATCCCATCCATTCCTGGGGCCGTCTTTCCGCCAGGGATCGTTTTTCACCAGCCCCAGAACCGGGATGCGGCCCGCGGACGCCTGCATCATACAAAAACTCCCGCCACGACACCCAAAAGACCTGGGCTTGGAACTCTCCCCTCCATTCCCCTGAACCAGGCGGCGTCGCCTCAGCCGGTCCTCCGGGACGCTCAGCGGCGGCGCTTGGTCCCCAGGGCCACACTCGTGGGAGTCGCCCGCGCCATCGGTCCCAAGGCCGCCTCTCGGGAACGTCGTCGTCGTCGTCGTCGTTCGTCTTTGAAGTCGTCGACTTCGTGGTCCAAAGATACCACCAGGAGTGCCCCTAATAATGCTCCGTGGTGACCCTGGGACCGCCCCCTTGAGACCCTGGGAGGGACCTCGGAGGCCACGCGATGGAATCAAGATCGCTCCAGATATCCCCCAGGGTGGCCCCTTGGGGCCCCACGATAACACGACTGGGCCTCAAGGTGCCCAATCAGAGCTGCATGACTAGGAGAACGAGAACTAAGCACATGCACCGATCCCGGCAAGGCTCATCCTGAGCCAAAGATCGGTGCACACGCCCTCCTGGCTTGGCCAGGAAGGCATATACACTTACCTGACCAGACAATATCGGCGGTGGACAAATCTCCCTTCAGTAAACCACCCTTTAGTGAAGACGGCCTAAGACCGAAACCGACGGACCTGGACCCGCAAAAATGACGGCCGCAACACCCTCTCGCGAACCGAAAACGGCCTAGTCGCTTATCGACGTGTCAGGGTAGGAGGTCTACAACCTGCGAATATACACTTACCTGGCCAGACAATATGGGAAAGCGCCGCATTCGTCCATTCTGCTCGTGAGACCAATAAGAAAAGAAGAGAGGAGGATGGCACTGGGGCGGGCGAGGAGGACTCGCGTGGAGGACGAGGGGACAGCGAGGCGGACCGGGAAACGACTGCGAGTAGGAAGACGGGCACGAGGACGAGCAGGATGAGGGCGAAGCGAACGAGCACGAGAAGGGGGAGGACGACAAAGTCGACGAGTAGGGTTAGGAGAACCACAGCGTAGCTGAGGGGGTGAGCGGGGAGGACGAGGAGGAGAACGACGCTTTCGAGGAGGACAACGAGGAGGACAAGTAGAACAAGACTGGGGAGGACGAGGACAGCGGGAAGAACAACTACCAGAAAGGCGAAATGAAGAACGGCATGGAGGACGAGGAGAGAAGTACGGATGACGCGAAGGAGGAGGACGCCGACGAGAAGAGGGACGAGTAGCACGAGAAGGATGTGGCCGAAGTGAGGGCCCTTGGCACCTGTCGGGGCCACGATGGGGACAACCGAGAGCGTGTGAGGCCGTCTACGAACATGTGGTGGGACATTCTCAGCTGCGTTGGGCGTGTTTAAATCTAAGGTCAGCCGTCGGGCCGGGCATCGACAAGGAATCGATGCACCCCAAAATCGTTGCTTGCTCGTCGGCGCATTCTACCTATGCGTAGCAAGTGCGGCGAAAAACACAAGTTGGGCGAATCAATGATGTAGTCGATCGGAGGAGCAGGAGAAGGAGGAGGAGGAGGAGGAGGAGAAGGAGGAGGGGGAGGGGGAGGGGGACGAGGAGATGGAGGAGGAGGAGGAGGAGGAGGAGGAGGAGAAGAAGAAGGAGGGACGAGGAGGAGGAGGAGGAGGGGATCCCCTACTCGAAGCCTTGCGGCCTGGATCTACAAGACCTCTTCGTGTGAAGGCCTCGCGTCCTCGCAAAAACATAGGACCTGCGTCAACCCCCAACGGCGTGTCCCAAACTATAGCGTCTCCACCATGCTCCTGTTTCCTTTAAGCAAAAGATCAACTACAGCATTGATGTACTCCAAAATTGAAAGTGCTGCCGAATCCCTCGCAAAAAAACGTAGAATGTACGCAGTTCGATACGAAACATATGTTTTGTATACTCGGCAGGAAAACTGGGTAAATCGGTTATGGAATCAATATCCTCTTCGTGTTTTTTCCTGGGCACTCACAACGGCATGAATACCAGGGGGGGCTAGAATACAGGGTTACGAACAATGGTAAACGATGCAGAGGTCAGGACTCGGAGGACTACTTCCCATCCAATGCCCCGCAACTAATCCGCCACAGTGCCCCCTGGAATGTTGAGGCATGATAGAATGCAAAGTACTGCCTGGTAGGGTCTATATAATATCTAAGGCCCCCCCTCTACCGGCATCCATCCGCATGCATCACACCCCTCCTTCCTACGTAAAATTACCCAATACCAAACCCTTCTCAGCAAGCTGGGACAATTGATTGAACGCTCCATGCCGAAAACACACGGCTGGTCGCCTGGAAGGCCTGCATGAGGGAGGAGAGAAAAGCGCCGAGGATAAAAGGTCTGCTGGTCCGATGGGCCACCGCTGTGAGCCGCCTGGCTGCGTCGACTGCTCCGAGGTGATAGCCCCCGAGGGGGCTGCGAGGTCTTGCCTGGATCCAGGTGACAATCTACTCCGCTGGACCTCCCAGGAGCCCCAGCGACGGTTGCGCAATGGCAGCTCCCCAGGGAGCGGCGAGGTCTCGCCTGAGTCTGCATGACAATCAACTTCGGTAGACCTCCCAGCCCAGGAGCCCGCGAAAAAGGCGACGGTTGCGCAGTTCGCAGCCCTCCAGGGAGCCGCGAAGTCTAGCCTGACTACCACCTCCGCTGGACCTCCTAGGAGCCCACCAAAGAGGCGACGGCAATTGCACAGCTCGCAGCCCTCCAGGCTGCCGCGAGGTCTCGCCTGACTACCGCCTCCGCTGGACCTCCCCGGAGCCCACCAAAGAGGCGACCGTTGCGCAGTTGGCAAGGGAGAGAGGCAGGAGGCAGCAGGCAGGAGGGGGAGGAGGGGGAGGAGGAGGAGGAGGAGGAGGAGGAGGAGGAGGAGGAGGAGGAGGAGGAGGAGGAGGAGGAGCAGGAGGAGGAGGAGGAGGAGATGGAAAATGAAGAGAAGGAGGAGTTGAAGATGGGGACGCGATTCGCAGTGCTCTATTCAAAACGAGAACCCAACAGAGGAGGGTTGGGCGCCCTAATCAGAACGAAAACCCGACGCAGGCGGGTCGGAAATAAAGCAGGATACTTTTTGAAGAGGTGGGAGACGAGGAGGAGGAGGAGGAGGAAGAAGAGAAGAAGAAGCGTTTAGGACGGAGACCACAACGCTCAATCCAAGCCGAGAAACCGAACGCTTGTGTTGCGTCGCAGCGCGGCAGGAGCAGTCCGCACGCGAGAAACCGAGCACGGGAGGGTTGAGAAACATTTCTCTCGACCCGCAGTCCCGAAGAGACGCTCCCTCGTAAGAGAAAGCTGTAGCTCAATACTTCCGAGCTTCCACAACCGCCGAGGCCGGCCACCAAGATAACCAAGACGGCCCAGTGTGCCTCTCAGACGTCACAAGATGACCCCAAGGCGGCCCAAGATCGCCTCAAGACGGCCCAAGAGGCCTACAGGACTGCCCATGAAGGCCACAAGAAGACCCACAAGAGACCCCTAAGACTACCCATGAGGGCCACAAGACGCATGAGGACGCCGTTGCCTGTTCGGGCTTCCTGAAGCTACAGACTGTCCCAGAGGCCTCCAACATGCCCGCCCAAGAAAGCTCCAAAATTGCCAAATAAGCCTCCGAGACGGCCTCATGACAGCCCAACAGATCCCCAAGCTGGCCCGAGAGGGCCTCCAGAGGGACCCAAGACGGCCTCAGAGGGCCTCCCAACGGCCCGCGACGGCCCCACGACGACTCCACGACGGCCCCAAGAACCCCCGGTCGGTAAAGATGGCCCCAAGACGACCCAAGAGAGGCCCAAGACAGCCCAGGAGGGCCACAAGATGGCCAAAGAGGGCCACAGGAGACCCCGAAAACTGCCCCACAGGAGCCCAAGACAGGCCCCATGACAACCTAAATGAATTCCTCCTCTTCTTATTCCTCCTCCTCCTCCTCCTCCTCCTCCTCCTCCTCCTCCTCCTCCTCCTTCCTCTCCTCCTCCTCCTCCTCCTCCTCCTCCTCCTCCTCCTCCTCCTCCTCCTTCTCATCCTCCTCTTCCTCCTCCTCCAGCGGTGAAGACGACATGTGTGACATACGATGACCTTCGGTGCTCGAAGCGTTGCCACCCAACGGACTGGGCTGGCACTGCGGCAGGGTTTGCCGAGGGCAGCTGAACAAAAGTCGAAGGGACGACGCACCGCACGGCTGTTCTTAATACTGTTGTGAGTAGGTGCTCCTACGGATGTGCAACGCACTTGTTCAAGAGGTAGTTTCCTGAGCAATTTTCATTCACACTGACGCTTAGACATTTACCCATTGCGTCTTCATGACCACCGCCGACCCCCCGCTGAATATTCTCTACTCGTGAGTTCGTATCAATGCAAGAGCGCTGCGTGTGTTGATTCCCCTTTTCCCACCACCGCCATTTCCTGCGCCCTGTCCCTTGGTCATTACCAATTCCCTCGCAGCATTATCACCATCGTCCTCATCATCAGCATCACCATCATCCTCATCATCATCATCATCATAGTCGGCCTCATCACCCACATCCGCAACATCATCAACATCATAGCCATCATCAGCATCATCACCAGCATCATATGTATCATCATCATCATCATTACCAGCACCATCACCATCACCATCAGCATCATCATCACCATCATCATCATCGTCATCATCGTCATTATCATCATCACCACCATCAGCATCATCATCAGCATACTCCCCCCAAGATGGCATCAAGATGGTCCAAGAAGCCTCCAAGACGCCCCAACATTCCTCCAAGAGCTCGGGTGCTCGGTAGGCGGCCAGCCTGCAGATGACATATTCTGATTTCGTGACAAGGCTCGAGAGGCGCAGGCTGCCCAACAGACGCGGCGGCAGCTCGAGAGACGATTGCAGCACGCTGACTGCCGTGCCGAAATTGATCGGCACTAGCCCGACATGAGGGCAGGGAGAAAGAAAAGGGCGGGAGAGCTGGAGGCAACGGTTGCGGAAGGCATCTGTGCGGCCGCTCCTGCTGAAACATCTCTGCAACACGATCTGAAATCTCCCAGCAGCTACCGAGGCGATCGGGAAGCGGCCAGCCTGCGCATGATATATTCCGCTGTCGTGGCGAAGCTCGAAAGGCGGAGGCTACCCAACAGACGCGGCGGCGGCTCGAGCGACGACTGGATGCAGCACGCTGACTGTAATGCCGAGACTGAGATCGGAACCACCCGAACCTCGCAGATCGGACTGACCGCAAGGCCCAATAGCCCCACAGAGATCACAGACGGCACACAAAATCAAAGACCAGGCGACTGACCAAATCTGACATCACGATGAACTTCTCGGGCTGAACTGCCCCCCCAAGATAACATGTGAATGCAGCTTCCTCTTCAAATCTGAAAGATGCAAATCGCACGCTCCATTTCACGACGCAGCGCCGGGGGGGCATTGAGCCCGCCTTTGCGCGGGCGCGAGCGCGAAGAGTCTGAGATGATCCTGAGAGGCTCCGGAGAAGCTCCCAAGGGGCTCCTCCGATGCTTCTGAGAGGCTGCTGAGGGCGGCGCTGATCGCACCTCATGTAGCCGAATCCCACCTCCGAATCTTGCCTGCGGCGGCCGCGCTCCTGCTCCGAATCTTGCCCATCGACGTCCCGAATGGGGCTCCGAATCGCGCCGCGCAAGGGCTCCGAATCTTGCCCGTCGACGCCTCGGACGATGCCCCGCACTGTTAAAAACAAGACCGAAGACAATTCACCCAACTTTCGCTAATGATTCGACCGATGTGAAACTGCCATCTTTCGGGGCAGCTTTCGGTGGCCTCGTCCGGAGGCATCTCGGGGGGCAAGCCCAGCGCGCGCGGGTGGCCTGTGCACTTGGGGCCCCGCGGACCCCGCGTCCAGAGCCCTCGACTCAAGGGCGCAGATCTCCTTTGATTATGGGGCCAGGGCCCACGGACTCCGCGGCGGGGCCCAGGCGAGTCGGGGCCCGACCACGTGCTGCGGCATCGCGAAGAGCGTCCAGCAACGCCAAAGAAACCGCGCGTAAGAACGACATCGAGCAAACAAATAATCAACCCGGAACATAGCAAAATTCACAGACGTTTCGCTTGGGGTCCGGTTCAGCCCGAGAACTTCGGATGACGATTCCACCACTGAGGCTAGAGCGGAAGCGAATGTCTTCGCACATTCGGCGGCAATGGCTGTCCACGCGCGGCCGCGTGGGGCGGCCCATGAAACTTAAATCAAACAACATTATGGCCCTGACCCCTTTGGACCACACAATCGAGTCTAGAGACGCGCCACCCGTCGATGCGAGTGAATTTACGCCATCGGGCGCCAAACTGACAGAGGCGGCCGACGGCAGGCGCGCACGACGAGTCAGACATGAGGCGAGAAAGGCGAGGGGCAGACCACACGATGGAGGTCCGCGGATTCTCCCGCAGACAGGACCACCCCGAAAGACTTGCAAAGCGAAAATATTCGGCATCTGAAGTTGAAGGTGCCGTTTCGAAATGGAGCCGCACCTGCTGGGTCCAGCAAGACCGGGCTGGCCCATGGGCGACACAGAAGACCGAATGGGGCCGCGGCGGGCACGCGATCACGTCGCACAACGGGCGCCGAGAGCCACGCCCGCGACGATGCCCGTCTTCAGCCACTCACCCAGAGATGAGCAGATCAAAACGGAGACAAATGTGGCCCTAGTCGGCGCCGTTGGCGACGTCGAACGAAACGCAAGCATGCACGCGCGCCCTCAGCTCGGCCGACACTCGGCCGCCGCCCGCGAAGCCGCGCTCGAGAACCCCCGCGGAGCGCTGCTCCACCAGCGCCTCGAAGTGGAGCACCCAGTCGAGCACCCTCGCCAGCGCCGCCTGGAGGCGCGTCTCCTTTGCGCACCTCTTAACGCTGGATGGCGAGGCCCACTGACCCTGGCGCTGCGCGCCCCCAACGGAGCGCCGACTCGCCAGAAGGTAACGAGACGCGCCTCCGCGCCTCAAGGAATAGGTCGCACAGGGGGGCCAGCCCGAAAGAATCGGAGCACTCGCCGAAGTCTGCCCGGCACAGCGACGCCGCAAACCCCAGGGCGACTGCGCGGGGCCCGCCACCACCTTCAGTCGCGCAAAGACTGGCCACGCAAACGGGCCCACCAGGTCCAGGTGGACGGACTCGCCCCCAAAATTCGCCGCGCCCGGAAACCGCGCGCCAGGCGGGTTAACGAAGAGGCCGCAGCTGCAGAGCCGCGCGGCCGCCACAGCCACGCGCGGGACCGGGCGTGCCCGGGCAAGCAGCATCGCCTCCAAGGGCCGCAGGTAGGCCGAGAAAGAAAAGGCCACAATGATGGCCATCCGCCTACAGCCGCTGGAGAACATCAGCCCTGCAACGGCGCAGGCTGCCGCGCGCTGCAGCGAGGCGCGAGTGGCCATCGGGGCCCGCCGCTGCCAAGCCACCACGGAGCAGGCGGCGCGGGGGAGCATGAACTTCCAGACCCCGCCAGCCCTGGAGCGCAGTGGACCAGCGCCGCCTGGAGCTGCGACCCCTTGCTGGGGACCTTGCCGTTGGTGAACCCGCAGCACAGGTACGCCGCGGACGCCCCGTCAAGCTCCGCCGCGACGGTCAAGGCAAAGAGGCGGGCCGAGCACTTGACCGGCAGGCCGCCTAGCAGCGCCCCGCACGCCGACTGCGTCGCTGAGCGGACCGCTGCCCGTTCCAGGTGGCCCAGCGCGCCGCTAGGCGCCACGCTCGCGACCAGCCCCGCGGCCAGCCGCACCCGCTGGCGGACAGCATCGGTCGGCCCGGAGGCCACTCGGCGCCGGGGCGAGGCCTGAGCCCGGGGCATGACGAGACCCGAGCCACTTCGAGCCGCCCAGAGCCGCGTCGGGAAACCACGACCGCTTCCCACGAACGAGGGGATCCAAAAAATTGTGATCCGATGGGGCCCATCGCCACCGAAGCCGCGAGTCCAAAGCGAGCGACAGCAGGGCGATCTTGAGCAGAGGCAACTTCAGCAGCGGCGAGGTGTCACGGCCCTTCGACACAGCGAGGCAGAGCGGCAAGTTGTCGACGAGCGCCAGCAGGCGGCGCCCGAAGCGGGCACTCGAACGCAGCAGGTGGTGATTGGACAGCAGCAACACCTGTGCTTCCAGAGCTAGGATGTCGGCCCCTGGCTCGACGGCAGCGGCGATGACCCCGCTCCAGCAGCATGGAGCAAGCAGCGACCGAGGGGCCTCTTCGAACGCGGCGGCGGACGTCTCCAGCTACAAGAACGACACGCCCCCCCCCCCTGGGCCCAGAGGAGAGAAGACTGGACAGCGATGGGGAGGGCCATCTCTTCGGAAAGATCCTCACGCACCGCGCTCTCATTGGCCGTCTCAAAGCCCTCGACATGGTAGCGCCACCGCCCCCTACTGCGCCCGCCGCGCGCGACCTCGGGGCACGGCGCCCGACGGCGGCGCACGCCAAGCCCGACCTCGCTCGTGCCCGAGCAGGCGACTCGGCTGCTCCAGGGGGCTGACAGGTTGCACGTCAGCACCGGGGGGAGGCATCTCACCCGCCACAGCTCCAGCCGCACGCTCGGCCACAGCTCCTGCAGGTCCGCGACGGCCCATGCGATGCAGGGACACACCGCGCTGGGCAGCGCCAGCGCCCCCCTCCGGACCAGGGCGGCCCAGGCGACGTGCCTGCCACGCGACGACGCGGAGAAGGTGGCCCGACACCTTCGCGCGGCGCAAGACCTCCTCGACGGCGCACTGCAGGCGCCATACTCGCCGCCAGCTGGGGGGGGAACAAAAAACAAAAAATGGGCCAGCGCGCAGCTCCAGGCCGAGGAAGGCGCAGTCCCCCGACGCGCGCTAGGCTTCCTGGACCTGGAGCCTGGCGCTCTCGAGCTGGCCTGACACCCGGTCGACGTCGTCGTCGACGCGGCCGGCGCCTGCGGCCGCAGTCAGGCAGCTGCCCACGCGCTACCCAGCGCAACCGACGCCCGCGGGCTGAGAGAACCGCGCGCTCAGAAGGTCATCCCCGACGATCAAGGCGCTAGGCACCTCAGCACGGTCGATCGCCGAACGCAAGACACACTGGCACAAGTGGAGGGCCCACGCGAAGCCCATCGGCACGACGGCGACGCAGCCCTGGGCCGCCCAGCCGAAAGGCCCGCCTCCACCTCCAGGTCCGAAAAAGCTGAGGCAGCGGGGTGACGCCTGGAGGGCGCGCCCTCGAAGTGACGAATGGACGCACGTGCATCGAACACCACGCCACGCGCAGAGCACCGCCCTTCTCGGCAACGCAGAAGGCCCCCATGCACTGAGCGGAGCATGACTCGTAGAGTGGCGACCCAGCGAAGAGTTCGCTGAGAGTCTCCTCGCGCAGCCGGGCCTTGCACAGCCTTCGATAGCAGCCAGCCACGCGCCCAAAGGCGCTCCGCTGGGCCGAAATATACGGACCCGAAGACAAGACGACCATGGAAAAAAATCGAACCAATCACGGCACTGGCGCCGCTGGCACAGGCGGCGCCGCGCGCGCGCCCCTGGCGACGACGAAGAGCTCCCCGAGACCGGCCGCGCCAAGCCGCTGCGAGCGCAGCAGGAAGGGCAGGCAGAGAAAGAGGTCGCGCTGGCGACCGCCGCCCTGCGAGCAGGATCGCAACTTCGCGAGCGAGGTGCCTAGGGTGGCGGGGCCCACTGGCGGACGAGAGGTCGCGGCCGCAGGCTGTCGAAGCCCAAGGGGCCATGTGTCATCAGCGCCACGCCCCTTCTTGCCGCCGTGCTTCTAGTCCGCGCCGCTCTCGCTGGTCATCGCGCGCCCCCCGAGCCTCGCGCCGCTCCTCGGCCACGGCCCACTCCACCGTGAGCCTGCCCTTGAGGTGCTCGGCGAGCTGCGGCGAGACGCAAAGGCCCCCGCGGACGAGGTCGCAGCCGAAGATGAGGCGCGAGCCGAGGTGCTCCTTCTTCGCCTCGGGCGCGAGCCGCCCGCGGCAGCACTCCCCGCGGAGATGAAAGACGCGGGCCGGCATCTCGCCCGCGGCGAGGTTGACCACGATCAGCTGGTCGTAGATCGCCATGAACTCGAGGAGCCCTGCACGCGCGCCCGTGCTCGGCGACGCCCACCTCCCGGACGCGCAGGCGGGCCTCGGTGCGCCAGCGGGCGGGGCGCCCGAGCGACGCGCCGCCGTTAGTCTGCGCGCAGGCAGGGGTTCCCGACCACGGCCAGAATCGAAGCGCGGAAGGCCCGACGCGGCTGCCCGAGCGCGTCGTATCTCACCGCGAGGACGCGCGCGTCGGCCAAGGGCGCGGGCGCGGCCAAAGCGGCGGGAGTTGCATCGCCCCGGCCGAACGCGCTGCAGCAGCTATAACGTGCGGGGGAGCCCCCGCGGCCAGCACGCCTGCGGCCGACGCGGCTGCCAGTCCGGGCGGCGGAAGGGAAGCGGCGCCCGCCGCTGGAGGGCCGCTCAGCGCGGCCGCCAGCCGCCGGCGCGCCGGGGGCGGCGGCGGCGACCAGCGCCCCCAGAGCGGAGCCAGCCGCTACCACCGCGGGCGCTACGGCAAGCGCCGCCAGCAGCCCGACGCCGCAAGAGCGGCAGCGGGGGAGCCAGCCCCATTGGCCGCGCTGGCAGCGGCAGGCGCCCCACCCCAACGCCGGGCCGCCCGGCGAGGTTCGGCACCGCCGGCGCGGCCACGCCCGGCAGGCCGTGCCGCGCGAGCGCCGAGTCGCGGGCAGCGGTCGCGGCGGCAACGAACGGGGCGGCCCTGAACCTGCAAAGCGCGCCCCCGCCGATGCCTGGAGGGTCGGCGCCTGCTGCGGCACCTTGGGCGACCCCGACCTCGGCAATCCGGCAGGTCGAAGCGCTCGTCGTACTCGTCGCCGTTGGGCGCGAGGACGGCCACCGGAGGGCCAGCGCTCGCGATCAGCACGAGCACGAGGCGCACATGCCAGAGCCTGCGGGCGCGGTCGTACATGACGTATGCGAAGTCGTCCGCCACCAGCCCGTAGGTGGCCGAGACTGGGTGCGCCATCATCCCGCCTAGAGGCGAGCCTGCTGGGAGGCCGCGGCCTGGCAAGCCTCCAAGCGGGCCTCCCCCCCCACGTCTTCGAGCGTGGCGACCCGTACAGAGACCGAGGCTGGCAGTGAGGGCGACGCGCGCGCTGACCGCGGGGGCGAGAGGACCGCCCCAGAGGACGCCGGCGCCGACTCGAGGCCGAACCCGCGCCGCCCGGCGAGGAAGCCTGCGCCGACGGCCACCGCGACGCAGCCCAGCAAGACGACGAGCGAGAACCCATCCTGGTGGAAGGAGCTCTTCGGCGGGAACTCCAGGCTCGGGCACTGGAGGTGAGGAGCGCACTGGCACTCCTGGCAGCCGGGGCAGTCCAGCGAGGGGCAAGACGCGCACGTGAGCGTCGGCTCGCACGGCGGGCAGGCCTGGCTGCCCCCCCGCACGACGAGTGCCGCTGAGATGCCCTGGGCGATCTCCGCCCCCGCGCGGACTAGGAACTGGTGCATCCACGGCGGAGGCGATCCCGCGGGGGGAAAGCTTGAGCCAAAACGGTTGCGGAAGGCACCCACGAAATTGAATCTCAAATTCTCTCGGTTTTGAAGGATTCGGGCGTTCTCGCCTTTTCGGCTTTCGGACGCTCCAGGACGGCCCAGGAGGCCCACACAAGACCGCCTCAAAACGGCCCAAGAGGCCTCCAAGAGGGCCCCAAGACGGCCTAAGAGCGCCCCAAGACAGCAGGCGCGCCCAAGACGGCCCAAGAGCTCCCCGAACATGAAAGCCTTCCGCCCCGAGGGGCTCCCAGGAGGCCCCAGAAGGCCCAAGAGGCTCCAAGAGGCCCCAAAGAGGCTCCAAAGATGCCTCAAGAGGCCCACAAGAGGACCAAAGGAGGCCTCGAGACGGCCACCGAGAGGCCTCAAAATAGCCTCCAAGAGGCTCCCGAGAGGCATCCCATGAGATCCCAACGTACGGTGGCGGGACTTGCTGTAGTCATCATCATCATCATCATCATCATCATCATCATCATCATCATCATCATCATCATCATCATCATCATCATCATCATCATCATCATCATCATCATCATCATCAGCATCATCATCATCATCATCAACATCATCATCATCATCATCATCATCATCATCATCATCATCATCATCATCATCATCAGCATCAGCATCAGCATCAGCATCATCAGCAGCAGCAGCCGCAGCAGCAGCAGCAGCTGCATCATCATCATCATCATCATCATCATCATCATCATCATCTGAATCATCATCGTTATCATCAGATCATCATCATCATCATCATCATCAGCAGCATCATCATCATCACCATCATCATCATCATCATCAGCATCATCATCATCAGCAGCATCATCATCATCATCATCATCAACAACGACTGCATCATCATCATCAGCATCATCAGCAGCATCAGCCATGATCATCAGCATCATCATCAGCAGCATCATCATCAGCATCATCATCATCATCAGCAGCATCATCAGAATCATCGTCATCATCATCATCAGCAGCAGCGGCACAAGCAGCAACAGCATCATCATCATCATCATCATCCTCATAATCATCAGCATCATCAATCAGCATCATCATCGTCATCATCATCATCATCAGCATCAGCAGCATCAGCAGCATCAGCATCAGCATCAGCAGCAGCAAAAGAAGCAGCATCATCACCAGCATCAGCATCATCATCTGAATCAGCAGCAGCATCATCAGCAGCATCAACATCATCATCATCATCATCATCATCATCATCATCATCATCATCATCATCATCATCATCATCGTGAGAATGTTCATCAGGATCATCAGCATCAGCAGCATCATCATCAGCATCAGCATCAGCATCACCATCATCATCAGTAGCAGCATCATTATCAGCAATCGTCAGCATCAGCATCAGCACCAGCATCAGCATCAGCATCCTCAGCAGCAGCATCAGCATCAGCACCAGCATCATCATCATCATCATAATCATAATCATAATCATAAATATCATCATCATCATCATCATAAGCAGCATCAGCATCAGCATCATCATCATCATCATCATCATCAGCATCAGCAGCAGCAGCAGCCATCATCATCGGCATCATCATCAGCAGCATCATCATCAGCATCATCATCAGCATCATCATCATAATCATCGTCATCATCAGCATCAGCAGCAGCAAAAGCAGCAGCATCATCATCTTCATAATCATCAGCATCATCGGCATCATCATCGTCATCATAATCAGCATCATCATCAGCAGCAGCACCAGCATCAGCATCAGCATCAGCATCAGCATCAGCATCATCAGCATCGCCAGCATCTGCATCATCATCATCATCATCATCATCTGAATCAGCAGCAGCATCATCAGCAGCATCAACATCATTATCATCATCATCATCATCAGCATCATCATCATGAGAATCATCATCAGCATCATCAGCATCAGCAGCATCAGCAGCATCAGCAGCATCATCATCATCGGGAGCAGCAGCAGCATCGTCAACATCAGCCATCTTCAGCAGTAGCATCAGCAGCAGCAGCATCGTCAACATCAGCCATCTTCAGCAGTAGCATCAGCATCATCATTAGCATCAGCATCAGCATCCTCAGCAGCAGCACCAGCATCAGCATCAGCATCATCATAATCATAATCATAAGTATCAGCATCATCATCATCATCATCATCATCAGCAGCAGCATCATATTCATCATCAGCATAACCATCATCAACAACAAGAACACTAATAATAACAATAACAATAACAAAAACAACAACAGCAGCAACAAAAACAGCAACAACAACCACAGCATCAACCACCACCACAACAACCACAACATCAACAACTACTACAACAACTGTAGCAACTGTAGCAGCAGCAGCAACAACAACATCGACATCAACGGAAATATCAACATCAGCGTCAACATCAACATGAGCATCATCAGCAGCATCATCAACATCAGCATCAGCATCATCATCAGCAGCATCATCATCAGCAGCAACAGCAATCCTCCGATTTTACCATCCCCCTGACCTACCTCTTCCCCCTTTATCCATCCATCCTTCCCACGCCTCCCGCTTCCCTTTCCCCCTTCACCTGCCCTCTTGGATCCTCATGCCTCTGCCCTCCTCATCCTACTCCCTCGAAACAACGCCCTCGATCTCCCATGGGACACGCTCTGGCCGTCCCCAGAGGTTGAGACGGCAGACACCGACTCCGTCCCCTGCCCTCCCCCTGACGCATCAAGGACGGGCACGCATCTCTGGCGTTCGCAGTGGTGGCGCCCAAAGGGCCCCTTGCGGACCCCCAGGGCAGCGGACGGGGTCGGGAGCCCCAGGGCCCCACGTCGTGAGCGCGCGGCGGCGGCGCAGGGCTGGTGACTCGCTCGTTCGCGACAGACATCCCAGAGGTCCCGGGCTGCTTCCCGTCGCGTCGCCTCCCGCCTCCCTCCTCCCCAGGGCCCCGGCGCCTACGAACGGGATCCAGTCCGGCAGGGACCACTTCCCCTCGGACGGGGAGTGGAGAGATAGCGGCACGAGAAAAGTGGTCACCGCAACTGGGAGGGCCATGAGCGGCGGCAAGTGGAGGAGAGAAGGAGCGAAAGTCGAGGCACAAAGAAGAAGGCAAGGGTCACGTCCGCAAACTCGGGCGCGCCTGTGCGCACGAGATCGCCTGCGTACGCACTGCGCTGAGCGCGATTGTGGCAGCAGGAGCGGCAGCAGATGTTTTTTGGCCTTGAACCACATTGCGAAAACAGACAATACACCTCGAGGCCCCCCCAAGGCTCTGGAGTCCCCCGCGAGGCTCTACACAGCTAAACCTACTTATGATAATCGACCCAGTAAGCACACTGGTCAAACTTTCTTCTAGGCTTACCGGGGCTGGAACGTCCCGCCAAACAGCTATCAGTGCCCGCGCACTGAGCTCCTGCGCAGCTCAAAAAGTTGATCCTCCTCTGGCGCGGACGGCGGCCTCGGACAAAACGAGCATGCGGAAAAAGAGGCAGCACGGAGGAGCTGAGGAGGAACAGGAAGAGCGTTAGTGGTCGCCCGGGCTCGGCCCTGAGATGTCCCCACAGAGATCGAAGGAGGACCAGGGAATCTCTTGGCCAGCCTTGGCGATCGCACGGGCAGACGCAGCCTGAGAACGACCTTTCTGTTTGGGGCCTGCTCCTCTCCCCACCAGTTCGCTGGCCTCGTCAACTAGGAGAAGTTTCCCAGTGGCCATCAGGTCGAATCAGGCAGCGCTGACTTTCGTGATGCCGTCTTTGGTCCACGGATCGACTGGCATCTTGGTGCGAGGGACCCAGCGGATCACTCCAGCGGACTTCTCGAATGAGTCGCATATGATTGCCAGGTCTAGTGCCGTGCGCCGATCCTTCGCAGATGCCATTCCATCTTTGACTATGGTGCCGTACACACTCTTGGTATCTACCACATGCACCTGCTTACTCTGTGCCCGAGTCTACAGTCTTGCCGTAGGACAGTGGTGAAACGAGAAATCGCTCTCGAGCAGCTAGGGAAGTCTATGTCATGGAAATTTGCATCGCGATAACACCAGAAGGAACTCTACCTCTGCCACCGCAGAGGCCAGAGCTAGAGTTTCTCTGGCCAGAGTGGAAGGTACTCGCAGTCGTAATTTCGAAGATTTCCAGCCTAAAAAGGAGGCTCGAACAGCGCGGTTATCTAGTACACTCCTACCGGGGGCAACAACCGTGCAGGCGCCTTGTGTCCGATCTTCAGAGAGCCCCTTTGAGTCTCGAAGGTCCCCACTGGCCCCCACTCCCCCAGTATCGGAAAACGTCGGGAACGTCATCTGAGCAAGGTCCAACCGCCAAATCGAGAGGCCTCTAGAGGCCGTGGCACAGAGGTGCCTCACCAGTTTGTTGGCACACGAGACGCCCCCTGCGGTCGGAGATTAATCTGCCGGCAAGAATCGACGCGACGCCGGCGGCCTCTGGAAGGGTCCACTACCATCCCAGTTGATCTTGTAGATCAACGACCTCAAACTCTTGAAAACGCGAGGTTCCACGGGGGTGCCCTTCTGGGCCAACCGTCCAGGGGAGAGGCTCAAAGGTGTGAGTTCTTCCAGGATAAATGTTTCCTGGCCCACGGGCAGACGCAGTGGGGGATAAATGATGCGTCGACCCGTACACTCTACAGGCCCGACCTGGAGGTCCCGGCACTTGCCAAACTTGAACCTGGATTCAAAAAGATGGCGGGTACGCGCTCGGGTCTCTTGGCTGGCAGAAGGAATGAAGAAATCGTCCACTTCTATAAGCACCATGCTCACTATGTCCCCCTTCTTGCTCCGCTGGACCCACCAGCAGGGCTCAAGAAGACACCATTGAAATCCGTGCGCTGAAAGAAGCTTCGCCACTGTCCGACGCCGGGGAACTGGCGCGCCATCGGGCTCGGCGAAAGCTCCTTCCTGGGATTTCCACCTGCGGACCATTCGGGAGGAGACTATCGTTCGGGCATAGTTTCTCGGAGCACCTGGGCAGCCTTCGGAGGAATGATATTCACAGCCCCGGAGTTCGCCATGTTTTTCAACTCGGAGGCGTCTGAGATCTCAAACTTGGATCTCTCGGCCGGGGTAAGCATGGACCAGGTAACCCCTCCTCCTCTCCCAGTGGCGAACGTGGCGTCTCCATCAGAAACTATCTCTAAACAGGCCTCGTCACCCATGATCGGAATGACCCAATAGGAAAGCAGCTCGTCTTGTCCGCGGCGAGGTGGGCGCTCTCGCTCTCCCGTCGGCTGACTGGCTTCTGTCCAGCCTGTCCTCTACCTCTCCCACGTGCTCCGAAACGGAAAGGCGGCCTGCCGGCGGAGGAGACGGCAAGCCCAGAGTCGGGGCCACAACGCTCTCCGCGGGGACTGGTGCCGGCTCGCTCTCAGTGGCGCCCAGTCCGGGGGGGGGGGTTCGACTCTCGCACGCTTCGCGGCAGAGGACTCCGACAACTCACTTCCCTCCCGACTGGCCGCCCCCGAGCGCAAGGCGGCCCTAGCTCTCTGCATGCAGCCGGGCACGTCATCAGGTCGAGTCAACCTCGCCCTGCCCTCGCTCGCTCTGGCCGCGGCCCCAGGGACCTCAGGACGGGGAAGCATCAGAGGGCTCGGGAATCTCCACAACCCCCACTGGGCTCGGAGACGTCTGGGCTAGGGCTCGGTGGCCCTTCAGGCCCTTCCTCTTCTGAAATCCACGGAAGTCGGGCGGGGGGTTGGACCGCAGACGAACCTGCAAATCCCGCAACTGAAGTCCGCCGTCTCCCCTGAGTAACCGGCAAGGGAGACCCGAAGTCAGTGCCCTCGGGAATCGAAGGCTCCTCAGGGCTCCCTTCGACACGGACTCGGGGCTCTGGAACCGAAAATTAAAAGTCCCCGCTCGCATGGTCTGGGCGATCCCAGGCATCGTCGAGGGGAGCTCCTTCTCGCTGAACGTCGACGGCGGAGGCCCTTCCCTGTCGGGCTTGCTCCATCAAACCCATCCATTGGGAATCTTGGGCGAACTGGAGACCGCATTCTTCCTCACCAGAGGCGGGTCGCGCCTGCCCCACCGAACACGCCCATAATTTGGGACACAGCGCCACCCAGACGGTCCCGCCATCCTGGAGGATAACGAACCCGGGCCCCGTCTAGGTGCCCCGCCGAACCTGCCCAGCCGGTCTGCGCCTCAAGCGTTCTGGAAGCCCCACGGGAATGGACGGCAGGTCATGGGAACCCGAAGAGCCCCCGCCACAGACCACCGCCTCGATGGGGCGGGCCCCGCAGAGAATCAGCAGAACCACCTGTCCCATCACTGAATCCGACGTCCACTGGATATGGGAGCAAGAGGAGACGCGAAAAAGAAAGCGCAAGCTCAGACGCTTGAGCCGACATCACTACGGACAACTCGACTCTTGATCCGCCGACCCCAGAGGCGCGTGCGATTCCACTGTTCACTGTTCACATGCCACCACGTCCGCGCCCCCACCACGTTTGACACTGCCACCCTCCTGAGGCCTCCGGGCATAATTTTTTGCCATGTCTTTAGGGGCCAACCACCCTGCAAAATCTTCGCGGGGACCCCTCACAGCGCCCCCACCACCCACCACGGCTGACCTCGCCAACCACCTGAGGCCTCTGGGCATAGGTTTTCAAAAGCCACCTACCCTACAAAATCTGCGCCAGGACCCCCCCACCGCGCTCGCACCACGTCTGACATTGCCAGCCTCCTGAAGCCTCTGGGCATAGGTTCTTGGCAGGCTTTTAGAGGCCACCCCCCCTGCAAAATCTTCGCCACTGCGCCCCCACCGCGTCGGACATTGCCAGCCTCCTGAAGCCTCTGAGCATCACTTACTGGTAAGTTTGTTTGAGCCACCCACCCTGCAAAATCTTCGCCGGGACCCCCCCACCGCGCTCCCACTACGTCTGGCATTGCCAGCCTCCTGAGGCATCTGTGGATAAGACTATGGACGGTCTGCAGGCTCCACCCACTCTGCAAAATCTTCGCCAGGACCTCCTCACCGCGCCCCCACCACGTCTGACATTGCCAGCCTCCTCAGGCATCTGACCATAAGTTGTTGGCAAGCTTTGATGAGCCACCCAACCTGCAAAATCTTCGCCGGGACCCCCCAACCGCGCCCCCGCCACGTCTGACACTGTCAGCCTCCTGAGGCCTCTGGGCATAAACTTTTTTGGCGGGTGTTTAGAAGCAACCCACCCTGCAGAGCATTCGCCGGGCCCCCCTCACCGCAACCCGCACCACGTCTGACATTGCCGGCCTTCTGGATCATTTGGATCCTTTGGCCATCCTATTCTGTTAAGTTATCGACGGGACCCCCCCCACCGCGCCTCCACCACGTCTCACATTGCCAGCCTCCTGAAGCCTCTGGACATAAAGTTCTGGTAGGGTCTCAAGGGCCACCAACCCTGCAAAATTTTCGCCGGGACCCCCCCTCCGCAACCCCACCGCGTCTGCAATCGCCAGCCTCCTCAGGCCTCTAGAACGTTTTTAGCGGCCACCCACCCTGCCAAATCCTCGCCTGAAACCCCCCCGCCGCGCTCCCACGACGTCTAACATTACCAGCCTCGAGGCCTCTGGACATAGGTTTTCAATGGGGTCCCAAATGCCACCCACCCTGCAAAATCTTCGCCGGGACCCCCCACCGCGCACCCACCACCTCTGACATTCTCAGCCCCCTCAGGCCTCTGGCCATAGGTTTCTGGAAATTTTGTGCAAGCATCCTCGGGCCTCTGGCCATAACTAGGTTCTCGGCAAGCTGTTACGAGCCACCCACCCTGCAAAATCTTCGCCAGGACCCCCCCACCGCGCCCCCACCACGTCTGACATTGCCAGCCTCCTGCGGCCTCTGGGCATATGTTTTAAGCAGGTTTTCAGAAGCTACCCACCCTGCCAAATCTTCGCCGGGACCCCCCCACCACGCCCCCACCACGTCTGACATTGCCAGCCTCCTGAGGCCTCTGGCCATAGGTGTTAGGTAGGTTATGCTGGAACACCCACC